AAGGAGTGGCTTTTGACTACTTTCCGTTCGGGTTAACAACAGTTTAACTGTAGTGTGTGAAAATCAACCTGCTTTTGCCATTTTTCCCCAGCTTTTAAATCCTGTTTCTGCACAGGATTTTCCCCTTGTGATAAAGTCCAGTAGTACTATAGCAGAGTAATGGGATAAACGACTCTTGAAGGTCTCTCAGTCTTAAGACTTTATCACATAGGGGAAATCTATAGTTTATCCCATACAAAAGCGTAATTACGAGCAACTATTTTACACGACGTCGCACAAAAACTGCTATTAAAGTGGTGTTATCCCAGATCTTTTTACTTTCGGGATTTTAGTGAAAATGCATTTTCGATATTGAAGTAATTGCGCATTTACTCTAGTGTGAAAGTCAAATTCGGTTTATTCACACAATGCTCCTTTAATTCTTTTTTTCCGGTTTTCCCATGGTTCTGTGGGGCTGCTTTTACTTCCTGTTTTGTTTGGGCGACAAACATGCCAGGCAGACATGAGCCTCTCTGCTTTCTCTTTCTGCGCATGTGCAAGTATACCATTTCTAGTACATTTACGGATTTCTTTCACTTCTGTATGAAATGTAAAAACGCCTTTTTATCACTTTTCGCGTTATTTTGCATTTATTCTAATTACGTGTGAAATTCATTTGCGTGATCAAGCTCTATTTTTGCTTTATTTTCGGGATGGTTTATTTGCCCTTTGTTATCTTTTTAAAGACGAAACTGGCTCCCATGTGATAAAGTCCATAGGCAGGGTGACCAAATGCCCTCCTTTTCCTGCATCTGGCCTACATGTCAACCTTTTCTGTCCAGGAGGAATTTTAAAATGCCCTCCATTTTGAGCAGAACTAAGAAGTATACATTTACATTTCTAGGAGTGTTTTCAGCTTTTCTTTGGTCATGTCCTCCTTTTTTCTGGAAGGCACTCCATTTTGCATTGCATTGTCGTCCTTTGACATCTGGTCACTTTGGTCGCTGCAAAGCCGGCTTGAAAGGCCATGAACTTGCAGAATCTCCCATTTGGCATGGCTAGTAGCTACAAATTGTATTACTACTACTACTACTACTATTATTATTATTATTATTATTATTATTATTATTATTATTATTATTTACATCCTACTCTTTTCCCAGAACTGGGACCCAGAGCAGCTCACAACATTAAAAGAACAACAGAATTAAAAACATAGAAAAGTGCTACATTAAAACAGAATTAAATTGTTACAATATTAAAAAGATGGCTTGTTCAAAGAATAAAAATACAGTTGAAAAAGATAAAATTGTTTTAAACACTTAAAACGATGCAACACCCCCCAAGCCAGTCCTTGAAAAACATTCTTGTTTTAATAGCCTGCCTGCCTGCAGTAGTAGAATTAAAGTGGTATCAAACTGCATTATTTCTACAGTGCAGATGCACCCTGATGAGGTTCTTGTTGGTTTGAGCAGGCTATCCCAAAAAAGGGGATGGTTTTTGGCTGAGTGGGGAAGCTACAGATCACCACCAGAGGGGGTGGATGGGTCAGAATTAGCACCCACTTCCCTTTGTTGGTAAGAGGAAAGGGGAGGGTTTCTTCTCTTTCTCTTTCTCTTTCTTTGTCTTGGAAAGCAAGGATGGCTGCAGCAGAAGCAGCAGAGTCAGTGCAAGCTCTCCAAGAGGAGGTGACCTGTCCCATATGCCTGGACTACTTGACCAACCCAGTGATGGTGGTGGGCTGTGGGCACAACTTCTGCCAGGCTTGCATCACCCAGTACTGGAAGGGCTGCTTGCAAAATGTCTCCTGTCCCCAGTGCAGGGCCACTTTCTCCAAGGCCAGGCTGGAGAAGAACTGGCAGCTGAAGAAAGTGGTGGAGGTGACCCAGAAGCTGGCCAAGATCAGCCCCAAAGAGACCTCCAAGAGGATGGAGGGCAGCCTCTGCCAGGCCCACCAGGAGCCCCTCAAACTCTTCTGCCACCAGGAGGGAGCCCCTATCTGCCTGGCCTGTGGCAGGGGAAAAGCCCACCAGGGCCACCAAGTGGTCCCCATCCAGGAGGCTGACCAGGAGCTCAAGGTAAGAGATCCTCCAAGAAGGAGGAGGAGGAGGAAAAAAAAGCGCACCTCTTTCAGACCAGAAGGCATATCCAGGGGTAGTAGCCTTGTTGGGCATAGAGCAAAGACCACCTTGTTCATAGTCGTAATAAGAATGTAGACAGTGAGATATAGTGTATGGCAGGCCAGGTGTCTTATCAGTGGCCTTGAGAGCCTGGCTCTTGGACCTGGGAATGTAGTTTCAGTTTTGTGGGAGCTTGGCTTTGGGCTATTCCTTTTCTTTGTCGATGGTGGGGGAGTGGTCAGTCTCAGCTAAGAAGCTGAGTGAGGCACATGTCTGACTCTTGGATCCTTCAATAAAGTGCTGTTGATTCTATGATCAAACTGACTGATTGATTGTCCAAGGTGCTGGTGCTAATCCTGACGCTATGCCAGTGTTTTTTAGCTTGTTTGATAGAGTGGGCCAGCAATTATTTTTTCCCCAATAGGCCAGGGACCAGCACCAGTCTAGTGGCCACCATTTTGAGCAGCACTGAGCTACAGAGCCTGTCCTTTCCCCCCTAAAATGGGAGAATAATGGTGATGGAGGATGCTTTTGACAACGTGGCAGTCACTGGAGAATGGAGCAAAGTACTTTCAGTACTGAACTGTGTGGTAGCTTTTCAATTTGCACGAAAAAGAAAAGTTTAAAGTATACATTGGGGGGAGGGAAATGACAGCCTTCCTCCTCTGTTGGTGATGTTTCAAAAGCAACGATGTTTAGCTTTCACAGTCTAAAAGCTTATTTTCAAACATTAAGATATATATGATTATGTATAGCCCATCTGCACTGAAGCAAATAACTATCAGGTGCCATCTTGTCCTTCATCCCAGGCAGCAAAGTCTTGTGAGGATTTTGAGCCAAATAGATAGATATCTGGGATATAGCCAATTGGTCTCAGCCATGGAAACCCACTGGCAGACCTTGGGTGAGTCACACTCTCTCAGCTTCAGGTTAAGGCAATGACAAACCTCCTCTGAACAAATCTTGCCAAGGAAACCCCATGATAGGGTCTCCAAAAGTTGGAAATGACTTGGAAGTCTCACAACAACAAGCCTACTGCTACAGCCTTTGTGGTGTGTTGGTTTGATTGTTGGACTATGACTCTGGAGACCAGGGTTCGATTCTCTGCTTGGCCATGAAAAGCACTAGGTGACCTTGGGCAAGTCACACACTCTCAGCCTCATGGGGAAAGGCAATGACAACCCTCCTCTGAACAAATCTTGCCAAGAAAACCCCATGATAGGGTCGCCATAAGTTGTAAATGACTTGAAGGCACACAACAACAACCAGCCTTGCTCCTCCAAGTGCACATGGTGGAATGAACATGGTTGTAGTTGTACCAAGTAGTCCCTGGTGCACAAGAGGAAGAGAAATTTGCAAAGAAGCTGCAACTTGATGAATGCTTCTGAAATTAAATAATAATAATAATAA